GCGGAGGAGCAGGGGAGGAGCGCCTGGGGAGGCCCCTCCCGGCCCTTCCCGGCCCTTCCCGGACCTTCCCGGCCCTTCCCGGCCCTTCCCGGCCCTTCCCGGCCCCTTCCCGGCCCCGGGGACCCCCCGGGCACCGCTTCAGCTCGGTGGTAAAACCTAGAAGGGATTTGGGGGGGAAAGAACCACCAAAAAAACCCAAGTGAAAGCCCTTAAGCCAAACCTGCCCGGCGCTGCGGGGTCAGCGCTGCCTTTGTCTCTATGTCCCATCCCCAAATGCCGAGAGGACAGAAAGTGACACGTACCTGGACCTGAAAGCACAGCAGCAGGAAATGTAAACATCTGGAGAGGAGAGAAAAAAAACAACAAAACAAAACAAAACAAAAAAAAAAAAAGGCGAGAAAAGATCAAAATGAGGCGGTAAAATGGTGAACGTTGGTTATTATATTTTTTTTTCTTTCTTTTTTTTTTTTGGTTTGGGTTTTGTGGGGTTTGTTTGGGTTTTTTTAAGGGTGTGGGAAGCGATGCTGGGCTGAATTAAATAAAAAAAAAAGGCTCGGGTGTCCCCGCGACCAGCTGATCGGAAAGGAAACGCAACCGGAGCCTCCGAAATGAAAGTAAAAATAATAGTGATAAATAAATATGACAATAATAAAAAGACGAAGAATCAAAAGGAAAATGAAATAAAAAAGAGGGGGAAAAAAAACAAACCCAAAGAGCCCGCGACCGGGGAAAAACGTGGAAAAAATAATCAAATAAAGAAAGAAAAAATGAAAAATAGGTTTAAAAATGTCAGGATCCTTACAGGCAAGTGCAGGCGGAGAGCAGTGAACACATCGCTGGGCAGGAGCGGGGGGAGGCCGGGGGTAGCGCGGGGCTGCCTCCCGCAGCCCTCACATGGGAGCGATCCGGCCGCCGAGCTCCGCTCCCTCCCGCGCAGCTCCGCGCAGCTCCGCGCCGCCGGGAACTTGTGGTACCGCCCGCTTTGCCTCCGCCGAGTGACTCGCCTCGGCATCGGCTTCTCCTCTCCC